GATGGGGAAGGTCGGGGGTAGTCAGGGAAATCGGGAGAGGGAGTCGACTTGAGAGGAAACTTAATGAATAATAATAATAATAATAATATTATTATTATTATTAAAACAATTCACGAGAAAGAAGCAACAAAAGAAGAATACGCAAAACACACAGCGCTTGTGTGCGCCTCACGTGTTCTTCTTATGTTTCTACCTCCTTACGCGCTGTTTTTTTTTTTTTTTGTCTTATCGTGTTTGCTGTATATTAACTCGCTCAGCTTACTACCCTAGTGAAGTTACTCGCTCTGTTACGACCAATGTAGAAACAACTTAGGCTGCCTGCATTCCGGAAGACACTACAATCACGGCCATGTCCGAGACAAGACAAACTGCATTACCCCAAATGTGTCGCACAAAACAGAACTCGATTATCCAAGACTGGTTCAGACATTTTCGCTTAGTGTATTCACATCAAGCAGGCAGACTTAGTTGCTTTGTCCCTGTCAGCGTCGCACCATCGTTAAATGTTCTGCTTCCAGAACGAAACGAATCGAATCACCACGACTGCAAATTGTCAGAGCTGAAAAAAAAAAAAAAAACGGATTCAGACACGTGTCGAAATTCCGTTAGCTGCTACCGAAAATGACAGTAACACGGGGCAAGACGAACGGCAACGGTGCTTTGCAATCTGCTCAAGAAGCTATGAAATCGCAAATATATGGTTGTGCTTGTTCCTTGCCGTTTTTCGCGTCGATCGCTTGAAGAACGGCGTCCACCGGAAACGTCCTGTATTCCTTCCTGTCCACGTTCCTTTTTTAGAGCAGCACAAACATATATTTGCGATTTCGTGTTTAAGCTCATTGTGCTCGGCAGCGTCCCCATTTATAGCGTACACTCTAAGAAATGCCTGGGCGTCTACTTACCCGCAAAAACACTCAAAGGGCCAATCATTGCGATCTAGGAAATCGGTTCAGCGAATGATGAGGCGGAACATTCGCTTGGACCTAAAAATGAAGTCTACGCTGTGGCATTACGCAATGCAAGCACGACGCTTTGCGTTGCGTAATGCCACAGCGTAGATTTCATTTTTAAGTCTAAACGGATGTTCCGCCTAAGGAAAGGAGGGAGTGGCAAGCCCCGAACATCTCATTATCTCCCCACAGCCAATCAGAGTATGGCATGAGCCAATAGCAACTCTAACGAGCCAATCGCGAAGCAAGAAGCGTTGAGCCATGGCCTGCGTTTTCTTAAGCTGCCCGCGGCAAAACAAGTTGGTTAAGTCACTTACGACTGCCCAATCATAGATAAGCAAACATATCTCGGATGCCCTTTCACTCGTGATTGATGCTCACTGCGATTTTTTTTTTTCTTTTTGGAATTGCCACGTAGAGTATGACGTATGTACGAGTGTCCGGGTGATACCGTTGTCGTGTTCACGTTAAGGATTCTGGAGCGTCGTCTTTCCCACAAAACACTTAAGGGAGCCAATCGCTGTATTCTACCGAGGGCGCTTGGCGGATGAAAGGGTAAAAATGTTTCGAACTAGAAAATTCGTCTGCGCCACGACATTGAGCTATCGTGTCACAGCGCGTGCTCAGTGCCTCAGAGCAGACTGATCTTAATAAGTCTAAACACATTTTCAGCCTCATCATTCTCCGAGCGTCCTTCGCAGATTGCAGTGATTGGTTCTCTGATTTGCTTTGCGGGAGAGGCGATGTTCCAGAATTCATGAAGTGCTCATTCGGTGCGATGGCAAACGACGCTAACATACGAAGACATATCTTTAAGGTCAAGTACAAGAACGGAACACATATATTTTTTTTCATCATATATGACGCAATAATGTTTTATCTATACTCTTGCGTTGCACGAGTTCCACTAGAGCCACAGGCGGAAACAACCGACACCGACGAGCCCCGAACATGTGCAGCATGCACGGAAAAGACTTTTTTTTTTTTTTTTTTTTTGGGGGGGGGGGGGGGGGGGGGGGGGGGGGGGTAGCGTGCTCGCAATCGGTTGTGCTTACCTCACAAGCACCAACTGAGACTGAACGCCTGTCTAAGGTAGCATCGCGTGCGTCCTGCAAGTGTTTGAGGATTTTCGGTGTCGGTTGTTTCTGGTTGTCGCACTAGTGGGACTGGGGACGAGGCCGCGGCTAGTGCTTCGAAGCGTTCTTCCCCTGAACGAGCGCTCGCGCTGAAAATGCATAGTCTCAAAGCAAAGAGCGCGGGGGTGTTTGCGGAGTACAACGTGTCCCTAAATAAAAACTTAGGTTTCTTTTTCCCTTTTAGCTCAAAAATAATCTATGCGCTAACGAAGGCTCATTCTCCGCCCAAATGTAGCCCTTATGGTACGAACAAGATGCCAACGTTTCAGACCTAACCGTTATCCTATTAAAAAGTTAGGTTATTTTCTGAAATTCTCAATGGAAAGATGGGGGCACATTTTCGCCTGTTTCCGGTAACTGGAGCCATGGAGACTCCGTGCATTATAAGTGGTCGATCGGCAGCCGTTCTCCAATTGAAATTTTCAGGAAATCGCTTATATATTGTTAACAAGATAACGGATAAGGTGCTGAAACTTTTGCCTCTGGTTACACATATGGGCGGAGAACGAGCGTTCGGCGATGCGTAGTTTAGTTTTGCGGTACAACAAGACCCTGTAAATATCTTCTTTTTTTTTTTTTTTTTTTTTGGGGGGGGGGGGGGGGGGGGAGTGAATCGCGCAATAAACGACGACAAGAGTATCTCGTCCGGCGAACATTCAAGTCAACTCACGCCTGTGCGTAGCTTCCAGTGCTTTTCTAGAGAGCTGGTTAAATTTCTCGAGCACGACGCCAGCTGTCAGCTGTTTACTAAGCAGTAAATGGTAAAACCCGCGACGGAACCAAAAAGGACAGCCGCGATACTTTTTATCTGCCTCGGGTTTTAGTAGGTGCCTACCGAGGTTGCCTGTACTCTTTGGCAATGTTTGTTTTCTGCCAGTTTAGGCGAACTGAGCCACACGCCTGTTTCGACCGGTTCAAATTTAAATAAATGGTAACCAACGCACAAAGAAAACAAGTTTCAAGTACTTTATGAGATGTTTGAAGTGACTTTTACTATTGAACGACTGCATGCACTTGAATGTTCAATTCAAGAGTTTATAAAACGTGACTACACCATGCTTTGTGACTACCCCATGCTTGTCACCTGCCAACGTTACTAGAACCACTCAGTTGGGAAACTGCCATAGAGCCTGCTTTAAAAAAGTGGCTCCGATCCGTACTCGAGAACCAAGCTAATGGCGATCGCAACGCCGCCATTTCTCCCGCAGCGTCCACTCCGGGAACTGCACCGCTGTACGTCGAGTCGGGCAAGGGCCGGTGGCGCCATCTCGCAGGGCCGTCTCGCAGTAATTATGTAAAGCAACTTTCATGTTTCAACTCGTCGCTGAAGGGTGGCGCTGTTATCGTATTTAGCTCGGTCTCGGTGGACGCCAGCGACAAAGGTTTCGAGGGTGAGTTTCCCAACTGAGTGTTTTAGTAACGTTGTCACCTGTCAACAGGGTAATAACGCTCAATGGCTCGAGCCGAGTGGGTAGTTAAGTAAGCCTGTGAGCTAGTTACAGCCGTCAAAACGCATGATGACTAGGGGGGGGGGGGGGGGGTGCTCACTTTTTCTTAGAGTGTAGGATGCTAGTTGAAAGAACTGCACTGTCTGCCTCCCTCCCTATATGTTTTATTATTTCGTCTTTTTAAAATCTTCTTTACAAGCCCGCATTAAGTAAATTTTCGTTAAAGGTTTAGGTGGTCACGTTCTTTTGTAAACTTACCATACCCTGGATTTGAGCTTCGCACGCCCTTCTCAAGTGTTTACCATCTTTCTCTGGCAGATGTCGTTAAAAATATGTGACGATGCGAATTCACTAAAGCAGACAAAGCTTTCGTTTCTATACTGACCTTACTGACAACGCGTCAATAAAAGAAAAAAAGAAGTTAAATGAACTTCTAAACAGCGATGGCGGTGGCGAACTAGTGTAAATATATCCATTTCGCAATCCACCTGAGACTGGGTGGAGAGCGAGAATAGTCCAAAATGAAAGAGAAAGCAACTGTTCTTTTTTTTGTCTTAATTTGTTTTATTTTTCTCGTTCTCCAGTCAGCCACAAGTGGTTTAAAAAAAGTGGTCGATGGAAGTCTCGGTCTTATTAAGTTTAAAGTCCGTGCGTCAAGAAACGTTGCGAAAACAATAAAGCCCTCTGCTTCATTGAATTATCTGCGTTCTATTGGTCCAGGCACGCCTCTCCGCCTTTCTCGTTCCGCAACCTCTATCCCTCTTTCCCTTTCTTTTTTACGTTCCTTCAAAAAACCTGACACCCTGCTTTTTTTTCTTTTTTTTTTTACGAGAAAGAAAGACAGGATTTATCGATGATGTTTCTCGTAATCAATTTAGAGCGTCCGCAAGACAGCCACTAAAGCCGGGGCACTGTGTGAGCCGGGGTCACATTGCTCAAAGACAGTCTGCAAAACAGATCTGAACGCGAGTAACCGTGAAATCCCTGCTTTGAATACCGCTTGGCAATGAGTTCGATGAGAATACTTGGGCACGCAGCATTCAAACCAAGGATATTGCGGTGAGTCGTGTTTGCAGAGTGTCTTTTGTGTGAGGTAGGAGCAATGTGAGTAAGATACGTAAAACCGTGAACAAAAGTATGTTACCCAAAAAACGGCTAAAATCAATTTATATCAAAGCAAAAAAAAAAAAAAAAACATGGTGAAATTTTTGTTAAGCAAATGGACTGAAAATCGTCAAGTAGCTTCGCAAACCTTTCAAAATCTGAAGTTGTTCTAGGGTTCCAACATAACCACAAAACATTCTTGGAAAGAGAATCTTTATCGCAAGAGTTCATTCTATATTGAAAGATGAGCCGCAGGAAATGTTAAAAAAGTAATATAACTGTACTGTATTATATTCCATGGACACACTCGCTCTATTATCTTTTCTTCTAAAAATAAAGGGACAAAAAGCAAAATTACTTACCATGTCTTTGTTTCTTCTTCAGTGTACTCCACCCTAGGGATGGGTTGACCGCTGCATAAAATAATAAATAAAAAACATTCAAAATTAAAGGATTGGCTCACGAGAAGCATTCATTGTTGTAATTCACTTTTTTTTAATGGTTTTATGGCTGGCGAGGTTTCGTAGCTTTCGACGTTTCTTTCGACGGCACTCAGAAAAATACAGTACCCGAGAATTATGCAGAGTAAGAAACATTGTGCGTCCAGTTCTCCACAAAGAAATTCAGGGAGTCAGTCTGTAAATTCCCTACACCGTCCCCCCCCCCCCCCCCTTTTTTTTCCGAAGGGACCCCCTTCATTCGCAATGACTCCTCTATTCTATCATTTATCAATTACTTCAGCTACTTCATAGTTTTCTTTTGTGTTTAATTCGGTTGCGTACTAAGCTTTACAAAAGGTGCGCCTTTTCAACGCGATGTGGCAGCACCGATTACTAGTCTGCCAATTACTGGGATAAAAAAAAAGTCCTGTAAGGTTACTCTTTTGCGGAACTCGGAGGTGGCCAATGGCGGCGAGTAGAACACAAGGGTAATGGCCAATGACAAAGCTCAGAATGATCACTGCATTTCCCGGATTCTACATGTACCTGGTTTCTATATGGCTAAAAGTTTAAATTTTAAGCGGCGCGCGCGGACTATCAATCTACCAAGGGTTCTTATATGAGATTCAAGTGAAAAAAAAAGAAGTCAAAGGTGGCAAAATATTAGAAATACAGCGAAAATTGTGGCCATGCACTTTCTATGCCCTATATCGGATGCTTGTCGTTTAAACGCTGGTTTGTGAGATTGCTCCCAGGTGGTCATTTTCCTATAATTTGTAAAAAAACTATTGATTATCGCGATTGTCTCGCTCGTCGCCACTGCCATTGGTTCTCAGCGTGTTTCCGTTCAGCAAACCACCCGGGAGCGAACTCATAAATCAGTGTGCAGACGACAAAAAAACTGGAATAGGACGTAGGAGATGTACACAGCCCCGGATTTTGTTTTGTTTTTAATATCTTACTACCTCTGATTTTAATTGTGAAAAAAATATATACATAAATCTTTTTAAGAAACTACGTTCGCGTGCCCAATTTCAGATACGTACATATGGAATTCTAATGTTGCGAGGCGTGTGAATTGCGTCGGTTATTAGGGTCGCACCCTGTACCGGGGTACGCAAAATGCAGCGATACTCACTGTTTGTACTCGTAAGCAATGTCAGCGAAATACTTGCGTCGCTCGCGGTACTTCTGGTCAGTGAAACCCTGCAGAACAGAAGAAAACCTTCGTATACTACATGCCGTAAGTCGATCATTAGGTACAGCCGGATGCTTAACTTTGTCACTATTTGCGAGACGACATACTACAGTCACGACAACTTAATAAATTCAGGGCATGACGCTTATGGTGTTCATGCCCATTGCTTCGTGAATTATTTTTGCCGTTCTTATGGGTTAATGTCCATAAGTCAGCAAGCCCATCAGACACTAGCCGATTTGCTAATGCCCATTGACCTTGGTACGATAAACGAATGCTTGTTACTCGCCATGCCCGGAGTTTGTAATTTATTAAGGAGTATATCTAATAATAATCAACGTTAATTACCAAGTAAATTATCACTTTAGTTTCAGTGTAAACAAAAAATGCCGGAATTAAAAAAAAGTAAAGCTCGGAGTCAGAATAACGTGTTTTGTTTTGTTTTCCAACTCAGGGTATATTATAGGGCAGAACTAAACACGTTCTTTGTCACAATTGAAAAAAAAACAAAAAAAACTTTACGTTATTTGTTAAATCTGCGGAAATTGGCAAGCGGGACAACCTCACAAAATTTAGTGAATTTTATTGACTCTGCACATCTTGAATTTTCGGCGGCCATTGCAATAGTGTCACCGCCGCAGCATGGCTCCTCCCTCGCAGCTGACCCTAAACTTCCATTGGCTGGCGTAAGTGACCATGTGACACCGGGGACAACCATTGGTGTTTTCGTTAGAATTCGTGGCATATGGAGTATCGGCACATAAACGATACCACCTAGACCAAACCACCCATCCCCCCCCCCCCCCCAAAAAAAAAACAAACAAACAAAAAAAACGTAATTTACGTATTTTGATTTTGTCAGGTATGATCAAAGTGCTGCCGTAATATTTTTGTACATTATTGTACAATCAGTTCCCATCTTCTATTCAGACATGTCTCGGTAAGAAACTATCTTATCGTCTCTTTTACTCACCGGATGATCGGAGTCCAGCTCAGAACCGTAGCTGAGGATGTGGTTTGCAAAGATGTCAAGGTCTTTGATCTTCCTCGGGAACCAGGGCACAGCGTCTGAAGAAAAGCGAACAGCAAGAAACATTTATCAGCTTTTCGCTCGACTGGTTTCAATATAGCCCGGGAATTCGCTGCTAGATTCAGCGAAAATTAGATTTTTTTCTCCCCCTCTGATCCTCTTTCCCGGCGATCTATCTTTGATCGTGTCTGTGATGCGAAAATAAAATGTTGACATAAAATTCTTTTACATCGTTTCTTTTTTACTCTACGCTTTACTCTTAGGACACTGCCGCTGCCTCGACTCACAATAAACGCACAACAAAAATATTCAGGAACAGAAACGAAATATAAAACAATAGTAAAAGACAAAATAATTATTGCGTTGGAGATCAACCGCGGTAAAAAACAAATCTGGAACGGTTTTGAATTCGTCCTTGATGTAAGATTGATTTCCTCAACGCATTTGCGAAAAGAAAACGCTTCGATTAGTGGTGCCCTTCCCATTTCTATAATAGAAAAAAAATGCAATCAAAAATAGATCGTCAGTGGCGGGGAAGCGGAGAAAAAGAGGGCGAAGAAAAAGATCGATGCATACGAATAACCGAATAACGGTGAGATTCCGGCAGTAAAACGTCTTTTAAAAACCTGATAAAAACTGCTGCCTGTTTTGTCAAAATATTTGGGTTACTGCTATTAGCAGTTTATTTGCTACTATATTAGCAAGCCAGTCAACACTACATTTCTGGGGACCAAACAGAATGTACGCTACCTGTTGTACATCTCACCCGACGATGGACTAGGGTCCGAAGGCTGGCGGGCGGAGCACTGCCTCAGAAAAGCTTGCATCCGCATTGCGAAAGAGAGCGCGAGAGAAATACCGATGCGCAGACGACAAAGAGCACTAATCTCACGCGTATGGTTCTCTGTTATGTTAGCGCGCTATTTTATATGGGTGAAGTAAAGGTAGATGGTATTTAGTTTCATAAACGTACTTGCCATATTTCGTAAACATGTCCACTGTTTGGGGAAGTTGGACGGCGCGCAGGCAACACTGACGTAAAGTCGTTTCGCCTTAGCCATAACAATCCAATCCAGTCCAACTTTCGCCTGCGTGAAACGTACCCGGACCTGGATCTCGCCTCCGCACGCGGTCCGTACATACGCCCCCACGTCGAATACTCTGTCCGACTCATCTTCATTTCTTAATGACCATTGGTCCTTATCTTGGGTATTCTTCGCCCCATCGCTTCCAGACGGTACTTAATCCCTTCAGCAGTCTTCAGTAGTAGCAAGCAGACGGAGCCACCGCGAGGGCTTGATAAGCAGACGAAAAAATCGCCTCCGCATGGCGTGTCTGGGGGCACTGATACGTACGACGGAGCAAATATACCGCGTGGTTTCTAAGAGGCTCGTGATTGGACTCCGGCCGCCTGTAGCACTGGGCTTTAGTCCATCGTAGGATGTGAGGGAGAATAGTAACTGCCTTTACGCCGGTATTTCAAATGCTGTTTACACAGGACACGTTTCGTGCAGTTCAGAGCATTTGCTATACCGGAAGTGGACATTTTTCCCCAATTGCGACCCGGGTTTTTTTTTTTTCTTTTTTTTTTGTCGGCGGGAAGTTTTATTTTGCTTCTCTCATTGGGGTAGGGCAGGGGTCTCAAACGTATTTTGGTGTATGGGCCACATAGGCCAGCTTTGAAATTTCGAGGGCCAACATAGGAAGGGGGGTTAATATATATTTCTGTAAGAAAAAAACAGCGACGTTGCAAAGCAGCAGAGTCTTTCAGCGAAACCAACAAATTTCCTAAAGAAAGGATCTCATGCTATTTGTTAAAACCCACGTTTTACTGCAATGACGTCTCCAGGTTTGATTTGTTTATACAACTATACAACAACACACAGTCGTTGCTAAGTCAAGTCACTCAAGTCACCCAGTAATTATCCGAAATAAATACGCCCCGAAAAAAAAATTACGCAGTAGTTTTAGTTTTTTTGTAAATTTTTATAGCTCAATTATAAGAAAACAGTTGCGTCTTAAAGCGCCGTTCACGCGTTTGCAACCGAGTACGATGAAGAGAAACGAGACCGGTTTTCAAGCCTCTTGCGAGGTTGGCTTAAAAACAGGTCTTGTCTCTCTCCATCCTTCTCGGTTGCAAGTGTGTAAACGACGCTTAGCTGTATGTCAGACAGAACAATCCTCAATAAGCAAGATAAAGATAAGCATAAATTACGTACATCACTAACAGGTATAATGTAGTGTCAATGTTTTAGCAGTACAAGCGACATCCTTGAGCGAAGCTAAAAATCAAGACGGGTAAGGGGGACCGTGGGGAAGCAGGAAAATTAGACTTTTAGTAAGGACAAATATTTCCGACTATTGGCGACTCCAGCGAAATTTACGGCACCTGGCGGCTGGAAAAAGAAGCCGTGGAGGCAGGTTGTCAAGTTCTCTCGTCTGCATTCTCGAGCGAATCAGATATTCACAGTGCCTGGCGGTCCAAAGGCGAAGCCGTGAAGGTAGATTGAAAGCAACGAGGTGGAGGGGCTTAGAGCGATAAACTGGTATCCCGTTCACCACGCAAAAGTGATCACTTTGTGATCACAAAAGTGACCCTTGGCTTCCGCCATGTTGTTCAATTTCGACCACTGGACACGTGACCGTACCAAATGCTGAGGCTTTTACGCAAAAACGTACCAAATGCTGAAGCTTTTACGCAAAAACTGAGCCGAGATTTGTATTGCGATCACTGTAAAAAACATGATAAACTATTTTTTTTTCAATACTGTTAACCCCAGAGATCAGTGTCTAGCTCCGATAAAAGCCAAAAATACAGCACTGCGGCTGACGGCATCTAGCGGAGAATTGCGAAGCTGCCTGAGTCTTTGTCGTAAAAGCACATTTTGGACTTAAAACAAACGAAACGTAAGTTATCTTGTCGGTACTGTTATTAAAGATCAAAAGGAATTGCTCTTGCGCGGTACTTCATTAAAATCTAGACGTAAAGGTCACGTGTCTAGGGGTCAAAAATGTGCAACATGGCGGCGGCCAATTGGGGAGCACTTTCAGCTGCTAATTCATCACTCTAAAGGCCCGTTCACGCACTTGCGACCTCTTATAACCGAGTGCCTTGGAACCTCGTACCATCTCTCACGACGAGAGTACACACTGGCGCCAACTATTGGGCAGCTGTGTAAACTTGGTGGTCCTGCATGTTTTTTATATCCCTCGCGCATTATCCTTCCTTTCTCGAAAAAATTGGTCAACGTTATAAACGCGCCTTTCTTATAGCTATTACGCACATCTAACCTCGGAAATCCCGCAAAACTTTCACTCTTGTGAAATGCAGTTTCAGGGTCTCCGCATAGATGGCGCCAGCGTGCCAGTGTGTTCTCTCGTCCTAAGAAATTTTAAGAGGTTTCAACAGGTCTTGTCTCTCTCACTCATACTCGGTTGCAAGTGTGTGAACGGGCCTTAAGGCCCTCTATCTCGTTGGCTGAAAGGCGAGCGAGTGTTCCCAAATGCGCCTTTGACGCATCAGAACGCGAGGAGGGCCACGCCATACAAAGGTCTCTCCATACACAAACGGCAGAGAGCACGGGCAAGGGTGCAAAGCACGAGCTCTTAGCACTCGATTCCAGTGCGGGAGTGCTGCCTTCGCGCCTCCCGTGGCTTCGATTTCGCGTCCGTACCACTCGTTTTGCTCCAGGTAAGTGTAAAGCAAGGCGTAGTTCTGCTTTTCACCACATGAGCCGTGCCAATCAAATCTCGAAGCGATTACCACAGAAGGTAGTAATCTATAACGGGGCTCTCCGAACCCCGGCCCGCGAGCCAGATGCGGCCCGCGGAGGCATTCCGACCGGCCCGCGGCCCGCTTCCAGCAGTCCCACTGCTACCGGCACAAAAAGAGGCGCGCGCTCAAAGAAACAGCGCGCCAACAGGCACGAACCGCGTAAACTAAGATTCCAGAAAGTAGGCTGAGCAGAGCCACCCAAAAGGGTATTGCGGAATACAAATACTGAGATACGTGTATTTTAGAGCCAAGATACAGATGTTGAGATACATTTGCCCTTTATGTGCCTTTGTTTCCCGAACGGTGGGAGATGCGGAGGATGCATGCACCCTCCGCATCCACCGTTTGGGGCGAATGCAAATGGGAGCACTTGTATTCCTCACGTTTGCGTCAGTTTATGCACCTCCCCTTACCTCAAGCTGCTCTTCATTTCACAGATACCAACCCAAAAACGATAAAAAAATTGTTTTGTTATAGTTTTTTTTTTTTTTTTAATCACATAGCTGCTGGAGAGTCGAGGTCAGCAACGAGTTGCCATGCGTGAGAAAAGCCGTGTGCCAAAATCGAACCCTGTTTTGCCGTGAAGGTGTGTCTCAATTTATGACGCGCGCCTTCAAAGAAAAACAGGGTTCTAACAAGAGCTTATCCTGATATTCTTGCAAGTGAGTGTTCTTCAAAGTTGAAACCACCTCTGTTTTTTTTATTTCTTTTTGTGTTTTTTTTTTTTTTTTCAGTTTTAGTGACTTAGATATATACCAGCCAACTATATAGGCTTCCCTTCCTGTAAATGGGAATGGGGCCGCGCGTGGATATAACAAATTCCGGGACCCCTTCCCAGGCAGCACACAGCATTGGGGCAATATTGGCGTCGGATAGGAGAAATCGGGCGAATATCATTCTGATACTGCCGATATTGGCGCTGGATCGTAAAGATCAGGCCAGTATTACTGTGATGTCGTCGATGTCAGCGGAACATCACTTGGGTCCGCCAGTGCCATGGTGATATACAGTACCCAGCAACTTTTTCCGGTAATTCGTCGGGTCTGAAGCGGCTATATCGGCCGGTGTTAGGAATTCTTGACCGTTGCTAAAACGATACCAATACTATACCCTATTTCACCTTATGACGTATACCGCAGGATAGGCTACAAGAGCGAGCTCCTTGCTCTGGCGCACATCTCTGCGGCACAAGCTCTTTAAGGGCAGCTGCCAACGCTATGAGTTCGTGCTTCTAGCCTTCGCTGCGGTACAGCATAAGGCGAA